TCAATGAAACCTTTGTCTATATTCTATAACTACTACTTACTTCCACCATAGAAAAGTAATTTAATTTAGAAATCTGTCTCCAATGAATTTCTAACTTTGCAACTAATTATCATTTAAAGTTTTAAATAAATTATTTGTTTTCTTCACACCTCTGACACATAAATTCATTTCTAAGTTTTTTTCTTTCCATTCCAAATTAAGATTTTTTTTTCTAGAAACATAATGAATCTGATATCCTATTGAAATTAAATTGTGGTCATTTCCACTTGGTGAGCAAGATGTCCCAGATAAAAAGATAAAGTGCCAATTTTCTAAATGAGTTAGAGTCATTGTTGACATTAGAACTCAGAACTTCTCTATCTTGGATTTAGAAGATAATTTGATGTTAATAATTTGAAGTTAATTTCTCACATACACAACAAAGTTCTCTGCTGATACATGGAACACGGGCTCTTTATAACAAATACCCTAAAGATTTTTAATTGGTAGTTAGGAAACATGCTTTTCCTAATCATGGAGTCTCTTTTAAATATTATACCTTTAAATACCCATTTAGGGAAACTAATGAGGTAAGACATGAGAGGGATAAAGAAGGTAGTATGTTGTTTTCAAAATTAAAATTTTCAGGACATCAGTCCAGCAGGCATAAAACAAATAACTAGATAATCAAACAATAAAAGCAAACTAGAAATAATATGAAAGCTTTTTAAAAAACTGTTATTGCACATATGCAATAATTACTTCCATCAAGACTTTTATTATACATTTGTTTTTATGGAATCATAATGCACAAGTGTATGCTATTGTTTAAACACATTCTCCACATCCCCCATAACAGAATATGATGACAATATGTATTAAGGATAATACAGAAAATGTGGCTAAATGCATTCTGTTATGGTTCCATAATACAGCATGTAAATGGTTCTGACTAAGCAGACACAGGAGACAGTTGTTAGTGTACATGCTGTGAATGTATATTATGAATAATGCATAAAACTTGGCTAAATCCTAATGAGTCCATTGACATCCTATGGGGTCCAAAGGAGGCTCAGATCCCAAAGCCTGGCCCTGGCACATTTCTACCCACCAATCACTGTAAAAAACAATACCATATAAACAAAGAACATTAAACTATGGGAATATACTTTCATTCTAGGTAAAGCTTTTGAAAAAAGCACCCAAATTGGAAGAAACTTTGCAAAGAGAGCTAAAAGTCCATCTTACATCATCACCTCACTAACAGCCCTTGAAAATTATCCATTGCAATTTAAATGGTACAAAAGCTGCAGTTGAGGGTTTGATTTGATTTCTTTTCTCTGGTTTTCTTCAGGAAGCTGCTATTACAAAGAAGATCTGAGCCATCCCTAAGAGAAGTAACCAAACCTTTAGACCATAGTGGTAGAAAATCTTCCCGCTTTGAAAGAATAACATTTACAAAATGAATTTTAGTCAATTAAATAAGGAAATCGATATAATATGTCTGAAAGCACCCTTTACAGTAGAAACTTCTTAAAAAATGCCATTTTTACACAACTTTTCAGTTTCAAAAAGAATGCCATAAGCATGTTTCTTATAATACATTTAAATTTTTTTCCAAAGCATTAAATAGAGACTCTTGAGGGCTGGGATGTGGCTCAAGCGGTAGCGTGCTTGCCTGGCATGCGAGCCGCCCGGGTTCGATCCTCAGCACCACATACAAAGATGTTGTGTCCGCCGATAACTAAAAAATAAATATTAAAATTCTTTCTCTCTCTCTCTCCCTCTCTCACTCTCTCTTTAAAAAAAAAAAAAAAGAGAGAGAGAGACTCTTGAAGTCCATAGAAAGAGAAGCCATAACTATTGTCCCTGCGTGGATGCACCCCAAGAGGAGCACCTATACAGACATGTTTAACGTGTTCTCTGAGCCAGAAACGCAGAGCTGAGCAAGCTGTGCTTGAGATGCACATAGTGAGGATGTGACAGAAGCTTGTGCGCGGAAGCCTCCCCTTGCAGTGGGAGTGGAAAAGCCAGGACAGCTGCTTCTTCCTGGTGCTCCCAGGGGCGGGTGGGAAACGGGCATTCTGAGAACACATCCCCAGAATACAGAGAAGAAGCGAGGGTTGGCCATTCGGGGGATGCAGCAGGCCAAGACAAACCCTCCACGACAAATATGCAGAATGTTGAAGTGGGAGCTGGAGTTCAAGTTCTGGGCTAGAGTTCTTGTCAATCTTCCCAGCTCCCAGAGGTTTTCCCATCCCTTTAGCAGGTACCAAAGCTAGACACAGGCATGGCAAAAGCCCAGAGTGAAAGCTGCCTTAGAGCCCAAAGTCTGAAAATGCTTAAGCATCTCCAGCCCTTATTCTAAAATGCAGGTCATATTTGGGCTCAAAGAAGCTCCCCAGCCTAGGATAACTTAGCTTCTGTGCGGTGAATTAAGGATTCACTGGAAGACCCCTTGTGCAAAATAAGATTGCCATATTTGTCCCATCTCTCACTTACCAGCATAGGCAGAAATAGTAATGATAAACATTTATGAAACACAATCCTTCCAATGTTTCTATTTAAAGTACAATACTCCTGGGTATAGTTAAGAAAAATCACGATAGATTTGAGTTTGTTTTCAATTTGCTTTCCTCTGGGAGAAGAACTAGGACAATGGAGAGTCCGCATGTTTAGGGTACGTACTAAGCAATTTAAAAATAGGGTAAAATGTTTGAAAAGATGGGACACGCTGACAGTTCACTTTGTTTGCTTTTCCGATTGCCCTGACTCCCACATCCAGGGATTCCACGACAAGGAATTAAGACTTTTAACAGACTCCTCAAGTTGAAAACTTCCTGAGCACTATATTATTATGTTTGTATTTACACCTGGGTAAGCGCAGTCACTGCTGCCAAGAACATGAAGTATGAAAATCAGACAGAAAAATAAGGTAACTGCTGTAGCCACTTCTGCTGTTTTCCTTGTTCCACAATCTGCCTCCTCTCAAGTGTAATAGAACAAAGTTCAGCTCCTGGTATAACAATTCCATAAAGCTATTCTGCCTTTGAAAACCATTCTCCACCACGGCTGGTCCCAGCTACACTATAAGCGGCTGACAATTGCTTCCCCAACACTCCCCAGTGTTCCTTCACCCCTCCCAGATGCCACCAGAAGAATAACAGAAAGTCTCTCAGTAGCACTTTGCTTCTCAGCAGGAAGCTGTACTGTTTGTGATATCCATTTTGATACAAACCTAAATTAGGCCTCTGGAAATAGGTAATGCATAAAAAGAAGCATTTTGTGTCACCAAATTATTATTATAGGTTACTGTTAACCCTTGGAAGATAGAGGTGAGCTCTGTAGCTCCCCACTGAGGTGACTATTTGTCATGAAATCATAGGCCATACCTCAAAAGATGTTTCAGGTGAGCTTGCTACAAGGCAAACTATCGAGTTGACCTATAGGAATCTGATAGCTAGTTTAAGTGGAGAAGCCAAAAGAAATGCCAGTTAAACAAAAGGATCAGCACAGCGTGGGGAACCAGCAGTCAGTGAGCACAAGTTTAACAGCTGACAGAGCCTAGAGAGAGATGTAGGGATCAAGGTATTTTACTACCCCTTCAAAAGCTCTCCCTGCAAAGACTTGTAGGGTTTAGAGGGGCAAAAGTTCAGAGCAACTCATGTTTTTTGTTTTTTTTTTTTTAAAGAAGTCCCTTGGGATAAAACTACTAACTAGTCCTACTGCAATAACAAATTAGAATACTAAATATACTGATACATATCAGGTATGTGTGGGAGCAATACTAAATATACTCGTGTTTCTGGGTTTTTATACGGTTCAGATAGCAAATAATGTTCTAAAAAATTCTCTGTTCAAAAATTTAAATTTCTGTTCTATATTTGATTCAAATAATTAAAGAAGTACCCTAGAAATACCTCTGCATTATAATCCTAATACCAATTCTTGAAAGAAATTGTCATTTTTACTTTTTCTACTCTAAATTTTATGTTTAATCCTTCCTTATTCTTCCTCCTTCATTGCTAAATTAAAACAAGCAGCATTCATCATTTTAATCATAAACACATTGAATTTAAAAATCTAAATCAGAGACCACTTTTAAACTATCAGTGATGAAAATGTGTAGAACATGAAGGTGGTCTTCCCATTTTTTCAGTACAATGCGGGTCACTTTCTGATTAAAAATTGTGAAAGAGTCATCGTGCCACACATGAATAACTTAGCCTTTCATTTTTATATGCGTTTTTTATTAAATATTACCATGTGTTTCTAGTTTATCTCACTAAAATAAATAGACACGGCTGAGTTCATCTCTCTCAAGACAATAAACACACCAAAAAAATTCTTCAAATTAACTGATGTTTATTGAATAAATAACTAAACAATTAAAGCTTCCTTAGGGTAAGCATCACAGGTTGATAATGAAGAGCAATAAATTATTCTGCAATTTATAACATGAAAAAATAGAATAGCTAATACCATAAGAACTCCTAGAGAGTTTAGTGAGCTATTGGGTACTCGCCAAATTTCATAGCTGCTCAGAGTTAGTAGCTGAGTCCCTAAAATTTGAAGGAAGTGTAAATGTTCTTCACTTGTTTCCTAGACACAACTCATAAATGGACAGGCTCTTTTATAATATCCAAGAATCTTGATTAGGTCTCATTCTTATCAGCAACAGGATCTTCAGACTGAGAAAAATCCTACAGAATCCCATAAGCTAAGGCATAACATCTTAGCATCAGAAGTCCTAGACCCGCTCATCATTCGGAGGGTGAGCTAAGATCCCAACGCTATCTAATTCACAGAATTGTGACTAGCTAATGACTTGGCTTACTCAGAATAGCTAGACATCATCTGAATGCCAGCAACTGAAATTAAATCTCTTGTGTTTCCATCTTCTAAAATAATTCAATTTAAATATTCAGTAACATTTCATCTAGTCACAGTTAAAGCACCGCACTCCTGACCAGGCATTTTCTTGGAAGTTTCTGCAAGTTCTGTGCCCACATGGTACATACCTGTGCAGTCCACTCTCTGGATAGTTGTTTTTGTCATAGCTTCCTCCTTAAAAATATTCCTACACTCATGCTGGCTTTGAATCTGTTCAGTTCAAATTTAGATTCATTGGTACTTTTCCACAGTTACATTTCTTGTTCGATTGAGGTTTCTTTTTATTTATTCTGAAGTTTTCGATGTAAGACAAACAGGAATACCACCTTCTAAAATTACTACTATCCTACCATCCTCCGATGGAACATTAACGGGAAGCAATATTCTCAAAGCTATGAAGCATACACTGCCCTAAATTACATTGCAGTCGCTGCCCTGAGCTCACACATTTTTGAATAGAAAGGCTCCCAGGGATCTCTCTGTACTGACTGCATTTACTGCTTTAAAATATTTTTAACCCAGACGCTGAAGTGCCAGCCTTGCAGTTCCTCATGCTAATCCCAGTTTGGGTGGCTGTTCTTAAGGGAAAGCATTCAAAACATTGTAACAGTGCATCAACTTTGACCCTTTTCACTTAAACATGAGACTCAAAAAAAGTTTGAATTCCAGAGGGAATCACTGAACTTTGACCTGCTTAAAATTAGTTTTGTTTTAGTGCCTTCATGGTGACTCAACAAGCCAATTTTCCAGACACTTAAGACGTTTCTGCCCCTTGAAGATTCCAGTTCAAGTCCACAGCTATGTTTGCTGGTCAGATCAGAACACTTTGTCCCAGGGTTTCAAGCAACAAATTCCCAGATCTCCATCTCTTTGCCAGATGTTGGCATTACTTGGTATTAAGCTGGATCTAAACACAAGTGAATAAGAATACACACACACACACACACACACAAACAGTCCCTATTTTTTTTTTTTTTCACTTACAGTCTTTAGGGAAGCAAAGTTTTCCACTCAAAATTCAGTCATGGGGAAATGTTTACCAAGATTATATAAACATTACTTACTAGCCTAACTTCTCTAGAACCAAAACTTCTAACCTTTAGTTCGTACATTTATAATGCACTCTAAGTTTACGTTTATCAATAGGGTGAAAAAAAAACTGCTGATATTTTACTTTCTCTTCTATTATATTTTAAAAATTTGTCAATCAACAACTCTCTTACCACAAATGAACAACATCACAGTATTTCCTTCAATAGAATTTTGGAATTTCAAATGCAACATCTGTTATCAAAACTTTATAGGCAATTTATAAGTAAAATACTATAAAACTAAAGATCTAATACATATTCCTCTTGCTTTTGTCTCTCAAAACTTCCCCCTTTTAGTAAAACAAACTTGGCAAAAACAAAACAGCACACAACTTCATTAATACAAACTGAGGTATTAAAGGAATGAAGTAGCTATTCCTATAAAGCAATTCCAGCATAAATCCTGGACTTTAAAATCTTTAGAAAAGTCAAGGATATATGCACTCAGGAAAAGAAAAGCCATTTAGTTTTATGAATCCAGGAAAAAAAGAAATGTTAATACAATTAGTTAACTAGAATAAAAGAATCAATATGACACAAATTGCTTGACACAAATTACACACCACTTTAAACAAGAAGTCTGTGTGGTCTCCAATGGGCCAGTCAGCTATACTGAAAGGTGGTGCAAAAGGTGGTCTGCATCTTCATGTGCAAACAATGGTGTGCACTTAAACCTATCAGTGTTTGAAGAACTATACTGATGTTGTTCTTAAAACTTGATCCCTATTGCTACTTCCCTAAAGCTGGAAATCAGGAGCTATACAAGATTATAGAAAGGGGACACAGCAAAATTATATCTTAACTTTTTGCCTTCCTTCCATTAGAGACACTCAGAAAATAAAAACTATACTCAACTAAGTCTGCAATCATTTCTTTCATTTCTTCGGTGTTTAAAAAGGAAAACAAAAAGTTTTTCAAGTGGGGAAAGTGATATATTTCTATATACATACTTTAATTTAGACCTACTTTATTTTCATTTGATTCATAAATCATTCAATACATAAATATTGAGTGAACCCAGATTTCTTAAATGAAGAAAATATTTGGAATTCATTCTGATTATTTTACATTTCAAGCACATGTAACTATTTGGGTTCTTTTCTGGTGCTTAAGAAAACAATCATTAATAGTTTTAAAAACTGGATCAATTATTTACATGAAGAGGTCAACTGAAGTGAACATTCTAAGTGCTGCTGACTAGTTCCTTTAAATGACATGAAAATTAATATGGATTATGTAAGATACTAATGAAATACACATATTTACAGATCATACAGTAAATGGCAGTATTTAAATAAAATTATACAGAGATGTTCCCATGTAAGAACCATTATCTGAAGAATCTGCCAACATAAGATTAGCATTGTAGTTGCTTAATCCTTTAATTGTCTTAATAATAAAATATGCTACTAATTATGTTAGGTATTTTGGCCTTGCATTCTAAAAGAGATATATGCATTTTTGTTTGTATATGTTGTAAAAACTAAAATAAGGTGTCATTAAAGAGTAATTCAACTGGTTTTAAAACAAACATACCTTGTCATCTAAGTTCAAATGTATTTTCCCTTCTTAGTGGTCACCAAAGATCAGACTTTACTGACAGCATTTTTACCTCCTCCTGAAACTACCAAGTTTAAGCATACATAGGCATATGTACCCACTTATAAACATCCTTAAAGGTGACACATTTTTTAATTAAAAACTCCAATTGAAAGTCAATTTTAGTCATTTTCATCATTTCAGAGACAAAAATTTATAGCTAATTCTGATGAATAAAAAAGATGAATTTTGGTATGAAATATGATTAAAAAGTAATAAGATGGATGTTTTTTAGTCAGGTTTGTAAATTGTTCAAAACATAACTCTGAGAAAGGAAGTTTTCCAAGATGTTTTGAACCAGGGCATCATTGAAATAAGGATTTGGCTTCTCTGGTTGATAATCTTGAAAAACAACATTAATATAAATGCATAAATCATAGTTCAATGTTTTCAAAAATAAAACTCCAAATTTTTCAGTCATACTCCACAAATATTATAGGGAGAAGATACACATTTTCATTAGGTGGCTACTTACATGCATTCTGAAGTTTCACTGGGTGAAATTAACCACAGGTTGATTTGCAAGATATTATATATGTAATATAAACTTGACATAATGCCTTTGATCTTTCAAAAAAGTAATATGCAATGTTAAAAAAAAAAAAAACCTTATTTTTATCATCGGATATTTACATCCTACCCCAATCTGTAGGCTTCTGTAAACTTTTTTTCTCTTATATTCAGTCAAAACCTGACAAGAGCTCGCTGTGGGATTATGCACAAAAACTGCAAATTTAAACAAGGTGTGATCGTAGATTTTTTCACACATTATTGTATCATGCTGCACAAGAACACTAATGTATGCACAGTTCCAAAATAGCTTGGGCTATTACTGCACAGCCTTGAAAACTACTAAAATCCTGAGGAGAGCACCTTTCAAAAGCTGTGCCTTTATTATTGCACACTAGTAAAAGGTTGCTTTCATTGTTTGTATTTTACAATAGAAAAAAATTAATGTCTATGATGTCGCCTCATAATTTTAAGGTCCTATTTCTTATTAGACTCTTCATACTTACAAAAGTTGTTTCATCAATATGTCTATGACAGTAGGACTCGATACTATTTAATCGACTCAATTATGGAACAAGTGTGCTTTTTCCTGATGCTGCCCTACTTTCCTTTAAGTTGCATTTGAATTATTGATGAAATTGCAATAAAACATTTCTTTGTTACGAATAGTTGAGAAGTCAAGAAGAATGCTTCATGGTTAATTTTTAGACTTGCAGTGATAAAATAAACACACTTGTTGTCTTTTCAAGAAAAGTCAATAGCAGGGTACCATCTCAAAAGAATGGCTATTTTCCCTATTGTTTTGAGAAATAATGTGCTGAAATGGTGGATGTAACTATGTAACAGAAGAAAATGGTAAGCAAAAGTACAGTATAGAAAATACTACATAGTTGCCAGGTCTTCCTGGATGATAAAAAAATTTAAACTGACAAATTTAAATTCTGCTTTCTTTCAAGTGGTACAAAGACACAATTATCTAGCAGGGTCAGGTTCCCCCCAAATGGAATAGTTTTGGGGAAAATGACATTTCTTATATAGACTACTGCAATCACCACCTAACTGACTTCACTTTATTTTCCAAACAAAGCCAGAATTATCTTTTTAAGTCACAAATTGGAATCCTTTAGTTACCTGCCATTGCTTTCATGATAAAGCCCCCAAATCTTAATAGGACCCATAAGGCCGGGTGTGAGAAGACTCCTGCCTCATTCAACCTCATCCTACACAATCATTTTTTTTAATATTTATTTTTTAGGTGTAGATGGACACAACACAATGCCTTTATTTTTTTTTTTTTTTAATGTGGTGCTGAGGATCGAACCCAGGTCCAGCCCATGCTAGGCCAGCGCTCTACCACTGAGCCACAATCCCAGCCCCCTACACAATCTTTCCCCTTCTTTTCTTTGCTCCAGCCACTCCTCTTGGTTCCTTAATATCCCACGCTTTCTCCCACGTCAGAGTTGTATACATGCTCCTCTCCACTCCCACTCACCCACACCTTCTTCTCTTAGGTGGCCTTACTTCTCTTCATACCACAGCCCCAGGTCTTTTCCTCAGGAAAGCCTTCCAGGATTTCCAGAATGAAGGTGCGTCTCTGTAGAGGTCCCTGTGCTCTTCCTCTGTGATACATTCCAGAATACTCAGCACCACCCATCCCACAACACCATGTGCTTAGCCAGCCTACCTCCACCAAGGGAAACTGGTGGCCACGACCCCCTGATGATTACGTAACTAATGAGATTACAGGGCAAAATCAAGTGACACTAAATTGAATGCTTTGGAAAGAAAAAAAAAACACAGTGTTTTTTAAAAACCACAAAACAGAGTGTCAAATAACTTCATAAAATTGGAATAAAGCTTTCTTTAAAAGTAGCAATTCTGCACTTAGATTGCTTGTTGTTCTGGTTTAAATATGAGATGTCTCTCAAAATCTCGTGTGTAAGACAATGGAAGAAAATTCAGAGGTGAAATGATTGGGTTAAGAAGTCTTAACCAAATCAATGCATTAATCCACTTGAATGGAATAACTGAGTGGTAACTGTAGGCAGTTAAGGTATGGTGGAGGAGGTGGGTCACTAGGGACTTGCCTTTGGGGTTTATATTTTGTCCCTGGTCTACAGAGTCTCTCTGTGCTTCCTGATTGTCATGTCCTGACCTGATTTCCTCCTCTGAACCCATCCACCATGATGTTCTGCCTCCCATCGGACCCAGAGCAAGGGAGTTGGCCATCTATGCACTGAGACCTCTGAAACCATGACCCTCAAATAAACTTTTCCTTCTCTAAAATTTTTCTTGTTGGGTCTTTTGCTCACAGTGGTAAAATAAAAGCTGACTAAAACACTGGTCAAATGCCTCTAAGTTTCTCTGTGATTTTTAATAAATTAAAGATAAAAACCACCAAACATGTATTATGAGTGTGGTTTACCCAAGAAAGTAATAAGGATCTTAGGAGAGTCATACTGAAAAGTCTTGACTGCACATCAATTAATTGGCAAACTTATAAACACTGATAAATAATGAAACAGTAATACATTCATAAACATTTAAAATCATAAAACATTTAATGTAGGTACTCTTCTTTAAGATGTTATGCTTGGCAGGCACAGTGGCGCACACCTGTAATGCCAGAGACTTAGCAAGAACCTATCTCAAAATCAATTTTAAAAAGGTCTGGGCTGTAGCTCAGTAGCAGAGCACTTGCCTAGCATGTACTAGACCCTGGGTTCAATCCTTAGTACCAAAGAAGAAAAGAAAGATTCTATGCTTTAGTGATTTTTTTTTAAAAAAGTCCAACTATCAGTCACAATAACAATGTAGAAGAGAGAGTATTTCCATTCAATTCATTGGCATAATTAGCTGATTAACCTTCATTTTTCTCACTGGATTGGATGCTCTGTAAGGGAAGGGACGAAATCTCTTTGCTCATCACTGTAACATCACTACTCAGTTCATGGTAATATGAACCCAGAGTCAAAGAACAGACTCCCAGTAAAGTTTTCTGAATGAATGAACGATGGTTAAAATGGTCAAACCAATAATACTGCTTATCTTAAATTGCTATTAAGATCAATACGCAGGCTGAGCACTTATATAGATCAGTTGAGCACTTGCCTATCATTAGTGAGGCACTAGGTTCAATCCTCAGCACTATATAAAAATAAATAAATAGTATTTTGTCCATATAAAACTAAAAAAAAAGATGAATATGCAAATAGTTATGGAGGAATTAGAAACAAATATGGATGTAACTGTTTGAAGATTTTGAGCCATAATTTTTTGAGACATACTCCTTTCTGAATAATGGAAAGATCATTTTTGCAGTATAATAAAAATCTTAACTTTTATTATTTGTTTAAAATAGCAATCTCTAGCATAACAAGGTTTCTGCCTTTTAACTTATGAACTATATTTAAGATTATGTGATTAGACGTCCTTAGGGACCCAACCATAATTACCATATCCTTATTAAGACTTCTATATGCTGGTTCCAAATCCAGATGCCTTTTAATTTTTTTCTATAATGGAAAGTAATAATAATGCAACCTGAAGTGTATTTATCTCCTTCCTTCCAAGAAATTCAAAGCACCAATACGTTTAGAATAGGCACTGTTAAATATAAAAATGGGAACATAACTGAAATGAATTCTTATTAACAAAATAAAGATGTTAATAAGCAAGCTAAGTTATCTGAAGTTGAGATACAAGATGACTCTGGGATAATCTTTATAAACCAGGCTGAGTTTTACCAGAAAAAAATTCTTGTAAAGATTTAAAATTCCTAAAAGATATGAGGAATTTATATTTACATATAAATTTTGTCTTTTCAGGTTCTCTATTGCTGAGATGACACAAATAAAGATATCTTTTTAATTACTGCACTTAACTGATTTATAAATTGATGAATCTGAGAAAAAGTAAGCAATGAGAGAACATTCAAAGCATTCTAGGATATAAAGCAGGATATGGGTCATAAATTAGAGTCAGATCTACAGAGGAATAATGGTGTCAGTGTGGCCCCAACCTTTTAGTTAATTATGAGGAATTGGTAAACAGGAGGAAATGCTAAGTCATTATGACCCTGGCTAGTGTACACACATAAACAGACACACACACATGCATACACACACACACACACACAATCTTCCTCTGGTTTTTAAAATATTTTAAAGCATCCTAACTATATTCTAAAACCTCATTTTCTCCAATTTACTTTTTAATACTTGGAGCACATATTATCTTATTTAAATAGTTACATATATTAAAACCATTAAACTGTCACAATTTGTCTTCATTGCACTTTGTCCTCATTTGTATACAGCATATGCTCTACAAATCAAGCTCAGTAGTCCACAAGGTGGTTGCTAAAAACAGAGAAGACATCCACTGGCATTCCCCAATAAAATATTAAAACCTCTGCTTACATTTCTTGTTTCATTGATCTTCTTAATTCCCTGTTTATCTCAATCCCTTTTAATTTCTATTTTTGTATGCTGTTAGTAATTTTTTCTTGATAATATATATACATGATTAAAAAAAATAGGAGGGTATAGACCTAGATGCCTACCAAAGGACATGAAAAACCCAGGACTCTACTTCCTGGCTGAGTCTCTTATCCACTTCATTGTGCAACAAATCTTTCTCCCCTTCAATACACAGAGAGACACCATCCCCGCCATCTTATATCCAGGTTAAATCAGGGGACCCACCTCCAGTTAAAATGTTTCCTTAGTTTCATTCCATAAGGAAATTTTCTCCAAAGCCAGAAAATTTCAAGATGATCCACAAGCTTTTCCTGTTTTTTGCTTTTTTAAAATCTAATTACCACAGGGGCCCTCATTGTCACAACAGGAAGGAGTTAATGGCCTTCTCACTTTTTCATTTTACCATTTTGTCACACATGACAGTTTTCATATGGCTGGGGAAGTGGATTATGGATTACATTGTCTAAATTTTAGCTAAATTAAGGCTTATGAAACAGACAAGTGGTTTTAAAATATTTCCTGCACACACATCATATACAAAAAAATTACAGATTTTTCAATACTAATAATGCAAATGTAAGTGAATCCAGGAATATGGCAGAACTGTATCTCAGACCAACTGCCAGTTGTTGGACAGCCATATTTCAAGGAAAAAAAAACTGCTAACTCTAAAGAAAGAAAGAAATAATCAGAAAGGATGTTTGTTTGCAGTAGAAGCTGAGGAACACTGCCCACATATCTCCCAGCTACAGGAATACTGTCTGCCAAAGGTTTACAGCTCAATCCCTTTGGGAGAAGTCCTTGCTCAAAGTTCTAGCCCTTCCCCAGGGGCCCATAGCCAATACCCACATGAAATAACAAAGACTTGGATACCTGGCCTCACTCAGAAGGTCTCTGAAAACCCATCCAGTTTCAGAGCTCCCCACAGGCCAGCTGAAGCCTGAGCTATCTCACATTACATTTCTCCTTCTAGATGGTGTCTCTGAGAGCCCTGGCCCAAAGCTCACTGCATGCAGATCTCTATACCAGACTTGGTCTTCCAGGAACTCTGACATGATACAACATTACATTTGCCATCATTTAAACTGAACCTCCTTCTAAGTATTTATCATGACCTGAATAGTAATTAAAGTAGCAACACATTCACATAAATGATGAATATATGTATATACATATGCATTCTGGGGGACTGTGCGCTCTGACAATTTTACAAATGCAGTACCACTAAAGTGTCACCAAATATGCAAGACATTATTTTAACTGCTGACTTGTTTTCCTTTTTTTTTTTTGGCTCCTCTGTCATTGGCTCATTCACAATCAAAACAGGCCATATTACTTATCAGTTAAAGGTCCCCATGGCCTACAAGGCAGAAGCTAGTGCACACACATCTGTGATAAAAAGACCACCTTGATCTGACCACAGCCAATCATCCCAGTCTCATCTCAGCTAAACCCCTCTTGTGCTCCACCAGTACCACACTGTCATCTCACAAACGCCCCCTTGCTCTTCCTCACCTCCATACCTCTTTACTCCAGTTGTTCTGCCTGTTTGGAATACCCTCCTGCCTTCTCAGGGCACCACCTGCTGCCTCACCAAGGGAAACAGCAGTACACCCAAGTCAGTTCATAGGAGGCGCACTATCTGCATTAAAGTCAAGACAAACAATATAACTGAAAGTTGGTGAGGGGTTTTGTTTTTGGGGTTTTTGTTGTTGTTGTTTTTGTTGTTGTTGTTTGGTTTTGGGTTTTTCTTTTTTTTTTTTTTTGGTTAGTTGGTTGGTTTTCTAAAATCATTGCTTGGCTCCAAAAATTCTAAACTATATCAGTAAAAAAATGATTCATCCACTAGGATCAGCTGCTCCCAAGGTCAGCCCTGGATAGGACAATTACCCATTAAGTCAGGGCACAGGAGTTCTTAGATACTGAGCACTCTCAGTAAAAGGTGTAGGTCTGATCATAGACCATTATTTACCTCAGGAGACCAAAGAAGTTGCATAAAAAAGTCAAAGTAATCAACATACAATATTCTCAACAATAACATTTACATAGAGTCAACCTGTAACTAAACTGACCAAACAACAACAGGATGAAGTTATACCAGGACAACAGAGGAAAAGACATGTGGTTTGGAGGAGGAGAGGTAAGGAATAGGTAAAGAGAGAGAAGAAGTAAGAAGTCAATCTTATTTAGTACTGTTTTAGAATAAAGGAAAACAAGTAGAAAACATTTTACTGAGAAACACAGAATTAAAAGAAAGATGGAATGTGTGTGGTTGCTAGTATAACAATATTGCTATCTTATTATAGAACCTCGAGTTGATACTATGTCTACATTGTATTTATTATGTAATTAGTCAACGAGAAGAATATTCAGCTCATGCATTAATCCACTTAGGAAACAATCCCCAACTCTCTTCTGTGATCTCAAAATATTCTATCTGGGGTTATAGCTCTCCATCACTCTCCATGTCATACTGAAAAACCACCACCAGTTTCTATAACTAACTCCCCTATCAAATTAAGGTTCTTATGGACCAAAAGAAAAAAAAACAAGATTTATTTGTATTTGTATCCCCTGGCAGAAATGATACTTAAATGTAAGTTCAAATTCAAATTTAATAAATATTCACAGAACTCTAAGTAGTCAAAAGTAGTAATAAGATACAGGGTTCTGATTTCAAAGAATAACATTTATAACCAACAAATGTCATCAGGTGGTAGAACTAATCTCTGTGCCAGAGATTATATTTAAGTACTCTGCATTCATTCTATCATTAATTCCTCACAACTGCTTTATGAAGTAAATACAATTATCCATATTCTGCAAATGACCAATCCTAGACTGAGAGCACTGAAATAAACTATCTGGCTAAAAAGAGGTGAATGATGATCCCAAATAGGAGTATAGTACTGACCTAGGCACAAACTCATGCTCCCTCTCAGGAGGCTAGATATATTCACAATGCCAGTACAACATGGTACAATATATGGCAAAACCCTCAAAGATAGTTATAGATTTAAGTGTCAGGAGATCAGAGAGAGTGATCTTAAGCGGTATATTCTGTGAAACTGCTGTGAAAGAGGAAAACTTCATTTGGAAATTAAGGATGCACAGGATTTCAGGATCTCTATATAAGGGAAAGATATATTCAAAAGGAAGACATTAAAAAAATGTGAGGGCCAGTACTCGAATGCTGACTAGAGGCATTATGTGTTTGGTGTCAAATCTCCCCACAGCAAAGCCCTGGGGAACAGGGAGAAGAGTGGGCCTAGGCAGCTCTCTTCCAAAGCTGTGAAACACGGAAACACTAGGTGATCACTGAATCACTGAACTGAGTATTGGGTAAGCTTAGTGATGAGGGGGTGGGAGGTATTAGTCCCTTGATAGGACTTCCTGTCACCCTTGAGAAGTCAACTCTCTAACATTGCCCAGAAGGCTTAATGGTCTATTCCCAGCCTACCTCTTATGGCCTCTTCTCCATCCATTTCCCTGTCACACTTCTTAAGTCACTCTGCCTTTATAATTCCAAGATCTCACCCTTTTCCCTTACTCTTAGGAACCTTTGCACATGCTATACCCTCTGCCTCAAAGGTGTTTTTTTTTTCCTCCTCCCCTCTTTAGCTCATTAACTATCTTTCATATGTGATTTTCTCTTGGAAGCCCCTTCTGACTGTTCCTCCCCCCCCCCAGATAAATCAGATACCTCTTCTATATGTTCTGTATACTTCTGTGAAGTACAGATATACAATCTGTAATCATCGCAGGTGCTAGTAATTATCTGATTAATGTTTTTCATCCCTAACAGACTTTAAACCCTTGTGTACAGGTGCCCGTTTATTCCACTCACTACTGAATCTCTAGCAATTAGCATTGTGTCTGGCTCATAGCAGGTGCTCAATAAATATTTGTTGATTACTCAATGAAGGAAAGGACAAAACAATTAGAGAAAGCCAAAATACAGGGCCCAGTGGATTGGGAACCAAGGAAAGGCGACTGAGGAAGAGGTCTGAAGCAGATGGACAAATGCAACTCTGGAAGAAGTCCCTGAGTTGGGCAGGGCTCCAGTGTCAGCGGTAGCTTTTCTGCAGTGGCCACGGCCTCTGCCATGCTGAGAAGAGCTTAGAGGGTTGACAAGTGGCAGACAGTTTGGGAGTCATCTGGGAAACTGTTCAGCTTGAACCAGATCACAAGCAAATTGTTTTTGAAGGAAAAGATTTTAAACATGAGCCTGAAAAGAAAGATGGGACAGAGACAGATTGTAGAGAACTTTAAAAGTCAGACATTAGCATCTAGGTTCCACCCACATGTAGTACTCAGGCACTTTGAATTTCTGAGAAAGGTGTAACATGACCTAAATAGCATGTCAGGAAGACTAGCCTGACAATGGTAAATAGAGAAGATTGTAGGGGAAATACTAGTGATGAAAGTGGGTATAGAAGAAAGGCATTGTTTTGAGGGATGCCTTAACAGGATCTAAATATATTTACTGGGCTGGGGTTGTGGCTCAGTGGTAGTTGCTTGCCTAGCACATGTGAGGCAATAGGCTCCATCCTCAGCACCACATCAAAAAAAAAAAAAAAAAAAAAACTAAAACTAAATAAAGGTATTGTGTCTACCTGCAACTAAAAAATATTTTATAAAATAAAATGAAATAAATATATTTACCATGTTACAATGCATAAAAGCCTAGTCTTTGAAAAAGGACCACTTCTGGTTCAGTATGCCACTGATTAGCTACACTACCTTGGGTAAGCTTAGCTTTAAGGAAACTGTATAACAGGACAACATCTATACCTTCTATCAGGGTCATTAGGCAGATTCAATAAAAATAAACTGCTTATCACAATGTCTAGCAATAATAACCTATCAATCAACATTGTGTGAGACAGGAAAGGGGGTACAGTGATGGCATGGCAGGAAAAAAATTATTTTTGGTAGGCAGGTGTTCATATCATAAGAAGATAGCCACCTAATAGTTAAGAGTTCATTCCTCTCCTGGCTTCTGCGTGATTTTCTTTATAACCCACTTACCTTTCTGGCTTCTGCTCTGGATTCATGCCAAACACAGTCTGTACTAACTCTTTCACAGTCTTTATTCTTCAAACTGCTTGAGCTGTTTCTAAACTTTCACCTTTGACATTTATTACCAACTTTCTCTCTTACTCCAATGCCACCCCTCCTAGAAGCAATCCTAAATAACTCAATTCCAAGGCAAACCCTCCCTGGCTAAATACACCACTTTTCTCATCCCAAGAAATGTCAGAAAGATTATGATGAAAACAAGTGAAATGTTAAACTTGGTTTTTAAGAGTTAACAGAGTGATTTTTTTTTTCTCCAAGGATAGGTAATAGCATCAGATTCTGAAATTAAGCACAGCAGGAAGAAAGAGGCTGCATAGATTTCACAGAGTATCACAGGCCTCTGTAATAAAGCACTTAAAAAATGCCTTGTATTGCTAATTCTTTACACAATCTCCTTTTATTTCCAAAGCAGTGTGAGGGGTTTGAGCCATGAGACGTGCACTGATGTTAACATTACGCTGCTTGAATTAGGGCCATTTTTCTACTGAAACTCCTGGTAGGTTTAGAATTACTTTTTACCTTTTCTCCCCCCCATACATCTTTCAGATCAAATGAATGGTTCCCTCTTCTAACAATGCTGAGCCTACTTTTGCAGTCATTACCTTAGCAAACATCCTTCCTTTACAATCCCCAAACCAGACCTTGAGCTTTATGGGAAAGTCGCCTGCATAAAGATGGCTAAATCGCCTGTCACTCTGGGAATTCAAAGTGAATAAGAGCAACTGTAGTCTCAGGATGCTTTGGGTTTATCACCTTCCCTTGCCCCAAGCCAATACTCATTCATGGATTGAATTATTTATCAAATACTTATTAAGTAGCTAATATCAGTCAGGCACTGTGCTAGGCACCATGGTGGATCTTCACCACATTATAGAAGGTGGAATTAGCCACAAGGCAATACTTGATGACAGGCAAACCAGCAGACATTTCACTGAATGTTAAACAAAAGGTCAAAAAGTATGTGGTTTTATGAAGAACTGTCATTTTTATGATCACCTATCTATTGGTTCAGATTTGTAAAGAATTTTTTCCCTCTCTTTTTGCAAGATATTTTTGTATAATGGAAAAGCGTCTTTTTCTAGTTCATGTGAAAGCCTGTAATTTGTTCAGTAAATATTTGTTGTATGCTATGATCATATAGAGAACAAAATAGACAAGGTCCCTATTCTCATATAGTAATTGCTGCTCCCAGGATAACAAACACAGTTTCTTATGTTCTGATTCCATGAAAAGGTTTGATCCTTTGTGTGATCCTAAACAATGGTTTAGGGTTTTTGTTTGCAAAAAGGCGCTTTTTTTGCAAGCATCATATAAGTGTAGTTAAAATCCTGCCCTTGTCTTATCTCATTCAGACTTCTTTTCAGCATACTCTTTCCTTACTTCTCTATTCACTGTAGTTTCCCCCTTATCCACACCTTCAGCTACCTATGGTCCACCAACGCCCAAAAACATGAAATGGAAAATTCCAGAAATTTTAGAATTAAAATTCATGACAAAAATTTGTACCATCTCACTCCACCCTGCCTGGAACAGGTACCATTCCTCTGTCCAATGTAGTCACATCATATATGCTACCCATCCATTAGTAGTCACTTAGTAGCCATCTCGGATATACTATCATGGTGTCACGGTACTTGTACTCAAGTAACCCTCACATGGTATGGAAATTCTGTGTCACAATACCTGTATCATTCACCTCACTTCATCTCATCAAAAGAAGGTCAAATACATACAATGTTTTGAGAGAGGTCCCATTCACATTCAATATCTTATAATTGTCCTATGTAATTATCAGCTATTACTGTTAATCTTCCTAAACCTCATTTATAAATTTTATCATGGGTATGTATCAGAAAAATCATGGTACTGTATGTGTACGATTCAGTGCTTTCTATGGTTTCAGGCATATGCAGCTGGATAAACAGGTCTGTCTGTAGTCTTCATTATACTTCACCACCTTTGATTTGGCCTGTTAAAAAGTTCTTTGCAAGGCTAGAATACATAAAACTTCCATCTTTCCTGGGCCCCATATTATGGTTTTTTTTTTGTAACAAGACTTTTTACTTTTGACTTTAAGTATGCTATATGTTGTCGAAATTACAAATACTAATGGTATTTATAATTACTCAAAATTACTAATGGTTCTTTAAATTAGTTCAAAACTCTAAGACTACATCATCAGTAAAATAGTCTCCTTACAACCAGATATGCTTTATCTCGCTCCTGCCACTCTTACTGAACTTCCATGATATATACATATATATTATATATGTGTATATATGTTATATATAAAACATATATTATATATGACATATATAAAATATATAATATATGTGTGTGTATATATATATATATATATATATATATATATATACATATATATGTATCTCTTGCTACCAAATTAAATCAATAAAAATTTTATCACTGGTTCTCAATTTTTTATATGCAAAGAATCACCACCAGTAACTTTGTAAAAATTCAGAGTTACAGTGTTATAATCACACAGAATTCAGGTTCTATGTGACTGGGGTAGGGACCAGAAGGGTCTATGTTTAACAAATATCTCAGGTGGCTTTCAACTAGGTGACTATCTTTGAGAAATACATTCCAACCCTATCCTCGGATGCCTGTTTTCATGTATTCAGCATTTCTGCTTAAAGACATAAAAGAGGTCCCATTAAGTAAGATATAAGCAGCATGCATCTGTGTGTTCAATAAATGTTTGTGGGTTAATATATGGAGTGGGTACTAGGAAATAATAACCAACAGTTAGAAGCCATTTTACAGCTCAGTCATGGCTTTCCCCTCTGTTCCTCCTGTCACGTATTATAGCCAGGAAGTGATTACTAGTTGCTTCCACTTTTACAGAGAAATTCCACATCAACATCTTGAAATGATGGAAAAGAGTGAAAGTGGTGGAATCCAACAGACTGAAATTCAGGCAATGACTCTCCTGCTCACTAGAGCTGAGGAAAGATGGCAAGTCACTTGACCCTTTGGAGTCTGTTCATTCTTCTGCGAAATGGGGCTAATACTCATCTAATAGGGAGGCTGAGAAGGTTAAATGAGATTATCCATGTAAAGCATCTAGCATGGAGCCTGAAATATGGTAAGTGGTCAATAGCTGTTTGTTTTTCTACTTCTCCATCATGTAAGGATTCCTTGAGTTAACATGAACCTCAGTTTGCAAGCTTATGTTCACTCAGAAACCATGTATCCTGTGACTGCTCAGTTTGAGGTGTTGCAATTATACTAGGGACACAACTCAATGCCCTTGGGAGCTTACCATCTACCAGGACACCTTTTAGGTCTCCTTAACGTTTAACAAGGTTACCCCTGCCAAACCAGGCAGCAATGGACTTAAGACATCTTTCACTTCATGCAGTGAGATGAATAAAATTCAGAATGATATGTGGCAAGAGGAAGGCTGATAAAAGGCCCACAAGCAGTGGGGTACAGGGGGCAGAAAGGAAAGAGCACTGGTGTGACTTGAGGAATTCCCTAAATGTAGAGTGGGCTCATTTAGCTTATTCACATACTGATAGAGATACACGTTTGTTTAGTCA